CGGCTTGGTGAATAGATCTACAAGATTTTTATCTGTTGGAGTATATTCCAAGATAATTTCTTTCTCTTCGACTAGTTCACGAATAATGTGGTGTCGAATGTCTATGTGTTTCGTCCTGGAGTGTTGGACTGGATTTTTAGAGATGTTGATTGCGCTGGTGTTGTCACAGAATGATGCGGCCCAACATATGAAGATCCATTAAGAGTACTAATTGGGCCAATCACAAGGCCCAAGTCCAAACAATTAAGGCAACTCTTCATTGGTGATGTTCAAAGATGGTGGAAGTCCAAGTCAAGCCCATTTGCAAAATATGAAGAATAACTCAAGGCTTTTTTTATAATTGTTTAAGTGCTGATTTTGGTGATTAAATTAGGCCCAAATCAGCCCTATTATTTTTGGTCATCATTAATTTAAATTGTTTGGCATAAAAGAGAAAACACTAGTTGTATTTAGAAAGGATTCCTTAAATCCTTTTCTAAATAAAACTCTTTTTACTTGTTTTCTAGATTAGGTTTAGGACTCTTTTTCCCATTGTATTTAGATTACAATGCTGCCCTATACCTATAAATAGGGCACATCCATATCAGTTTTAGACAGGCTTCAATTCAATAAAATTCTTAAGTTTTTCTTTACATTTGTGTAAGAAACTTTATGGCTAATTGTGGACTCAATTAGTGGCTAGTCGTGGACTCGACTAGTAAATTGATTCGTGGACTCGAATCAATCTTACTTTCTTCAACCTTAGATTTAGGTTCGTGGACTCGTTCTTGAATCGAAGGAAACTAGATCCGACTCTAGTTGATTGAAGATTGCAACATCAAGGTATTTGAAGCTACATGGGATTCTTCCAAGTCTTTGAGGATTCAAGACAAAGGGTTTCTCGTGAGGTTTAAGGTATTTTGATCCATCTCTATCTTTAGTTTTGAGAGCATTCTTGGGACTATATTCCATTTTATTTGAACCTTGGACTAGGGGTTCATATCAATTTGGTATTCAGAGCCTAGGTTTATCTCTTTATCGTTAGAAATTTGGTTTCTTTGGTTCCCTAGGTTTATCTCATTCTTATATTACATACTATTTTTTTTCGTGTCTTATTCATTAAAAAACCCAAAAAAAAAAAAAATTCTTTTGCATTCTTGATTGTGTTCTTGAATCTTGATACATGTTCTCCAGTTTCTTGAAAAACAATCCCGAAAGTGTTTTCCCTTTTTCCCGTCCAGTATCAACAAGACCTCACACCTCCTAAGCACCATATTACCACATATTCTGTCAAGAAAACAACCCCATCTCACCCTTACCTATATCCAAAGCGCATTTACGCGCAGTCACATCTCAATCACACCCTGTCCAGATTTCCGCGAGCTGTGACCAGTTTCAAAGAATTGCCTATATCTCGAGATCCATTAGTTAGTTTTATCTGAAATTTGGATATGATGTAGATCTCTTCTGGGGCGTTCTTTTGATATATTATAAACTGTCTAATTCCTTCTGGTTAGTGAGATATTGATCTTCAAAGTCATGGCATTGTTTCTGTTTTTCTAGGCGATTCTTGAAATTCTTGATTCTGTTTTCAAGTGGTTGTGTGGATCCTCTTGATCCGAAATTTTTGTTGATATTTACAGTAGTTATTTGGAGGTTAGTTATCAAAAAAAAAATCAAAAAAACATCTAGAAAGTTGAAAAAAAAAAAAGAGAAAGCAATAAAGAAGAAGAATAAGGTTGGGGAAAGAATTTGGCTGGTAGGAGAATTTTGGAGGGACAAGGAAGGGGAAAAGTATAAGGTTGGAAGGAGTTCTTGATAGATTCCTAATTGATTGTGGTACACGTGAACCCCTTTTATTCTATTTGTCTCTATTTTTTGATATTGGTCTTGCATATCTTTCTGCCATACTTCATTCTTTGGTTTCCTTTTTCTTTCAAATATTGTTTAGTTTCTTTGCTCGTATTGTCCTTTTTCTTTGCTTCTTGCTCTCAATTTTATTACCTATCTCGCGATACACCCTTACTCTCAAAGGCTTGTGAAGTTTTCCAAGGTACGTTTTCTTGAACTTTGAGGTTGAATCCATATCAACTTGAGTTCCGGACTAGAATTTTCCTTTTTGGAAAAAGGCTTGTGAGAGTATCTGCCACCTTGAGCGATACACGAGTGGAGTGTGTGTTTGTAAGAGTGTGTAGTGCACCCCAGAGCCATATAATCTACCTCTTACCTGCGAGCTGAGAATAGAGAGGGAGCGAGCCAACTTTTTGGTTTCACTAACATGAATACTCACATATCTTCTTGTTTTTAGATTTTGTTTCTCATCTACAGATGGCTGAAGAGGTTCCAAACACACGTAACAGATTAGAGCAGAAAATAGATGCTCTAGCCTTTGCCATGGAAGGTTTAAGAACTCGAATGACTAATCTAGAGCAACACCCTAAGCGAGTGCAACTGCCACTCTATACTAGGGGAAACATTCATGGAAAGGGATGCATTATCGTTATCAATTCGGATCGCTGTATGAATTTAGCTAGTGCAGCCATGGTGGACTACCTTATGTTACCTCTTATCAATCACCCCCAACCATATAATCTTATTGATTCTGGGGATGTGAGAGTGACTAAACAAGTTTTTATTCCTTTTTGTATTGGCAAGTATTATGATGAGGTTCTATGCGATATTGTGTCAATGCGTACTGCACATGTTTCACTTGGAAGGTCATGGCAACATGATAGACATTTTTATTATAATGCACTCAACAACACATGCAATGTCACCTATAATAGATTTATACATGTGCTTAAGCCTCTACTCCCAAAACAAGTAGAAGAAATTCAATTGAGATCGAAGCAAGTTCTCAAACCAGCATTGAAGAAAGAAGAAATCAAAGAGAGCAAACTGGAACCTCCACGTTTAGAATTGGAGTCACCACTCCAGTCCTCTAACTTAGATTGTAGCCAAACAAAGGAACCGCTATCAGTGGTACAGTGGAAAGAACCAGCCAGAGCTATCAAAGTGCAGCCTCGCTTGCTAACAAAAAAGGATAATAAGCAAGAGAAAAGAAGGGGAGTAACTATTTACTCACTTTTATTTCAAAAGCATGCATTAAAATTCTCTAGATTTGTTTGCCATGTTTCTATTAATGACCTACTTGCCAGATGTATTAGAAATTTGTTTGCCTCCATACATCCAAGATTCCTTAATTTTGATTTTACTAAAACTTTATTTGATAGAGATAAGGAATCACTTGGAAGTTATAAGGCACATTTAAAAACTTCTTATGACAAATACCACTTGCACAAGGGGTTTTGGTTCAAAGTCAATGGGATTGACACTTTTTGCTTTGTTTTGGGCAATGATTTAATTGTTGATTCACATAAGGGACATTTTGATTTTCTAAAGAGTAATGATGTTTTGCATGAATATTTTCATTGGCCAAAGAAGAAAAAAGATGTAGAATCTTATGTTCAGAATTGTGCTACTTACCACCATAATACATTTAAATCATTACTTGATATTTCCATGAATTTTCTGTTTGATTTTACCTTAAGCTCTAGGAGGAAAGATTTTGTGCTTATTGACAATTCAAACAAGATGCATAAATTTAATATGTCTCATTTTGTTGAATTATTACCATCCAGAATGTTTAAATTCCCTGATGTGTCATTAGACTTAATTGCCTTACTTGTTGATTGTAGGATGATGATTGGAGCGACTCATGTCAAGCATCCCAAGAAAAAGTTCCATGAGCGTGATAAAACAGCAAGTGAGCTTGCTACTTTGTCTTTCACTGAAGATTTGGATTCGAGGACGAATCCTTTTCAAGAATGGGAGAATAATAGGAACCAGTACACATGGAATCCAGAAAGGGTAAATAGTGGGCTCATCACAAGGCCCATAACGACGACCTTAAAACATCATTGGTGGAAGAAACAACAAAGACCAATAATAAGTCCATTCGATAGAGGAAAATATTATAGTGGCCAATTTCAAGTGATATCATGGATCGAAGACAATGCTTACAAGATTCGAGGTTGAATCATTTTCAAGAAGGGGATGATGATACGGCCCAACATATGAAGATCCATTAAGAGTACTAATTGGGCCAATCACAAGGCCCAAGTCCAAACAATTAAGGCAACTCTTCATTGGTGATGTTCAAAGATGGTGGAAATCCAAGTCAAGCCCATTTGCAAAATATGAAGAATAACTCAAGGCTTTTTTATAATTGTTTAAGTGCTGATTTTGGTGATTAAATTAGGCCCAAATCAGCCCTATTATTTTTGGTCATCATTAATTTAAATTGTTTGGCATAAAAGAGAAAACACTAGTTGTATTTAGAAAGGATTCCTTAAATCCTTTTCTAAATAAAACTCTATTTACTTGTTTTCTAGATTAGGTTTAGGACTCTTTTTCCCATTGTATTTAGATTACAATGCTGCCCTATACCTATAAATAGGGCACATCCATATCAGTTTTAGACAGGCTTCAATTCAATAAAATTCTTAAGTTTTTCTTTACATTTGTGTAAGAAACTTTATGGCTAATTGTGGACTCAATTAGTGGCTAGTCGTGGACTCGACTAGTAAATTGATTTGTGGACTCGAATCAATCTTACTTTCTTCAACCTTAGATTTAGGTTCGTGGACTCGTTCTTGAATCGAAGGAAACTAGATCCGACTCTAGTTGATTGAAGATTGCAACATCAAGGTATTTGAAGCTACATGGGATTCTTCCAAGTCTTTGAGGATTCAAGACAAAGGGTTTCTCGTGAGGTTTAAGGTATTTTGATCCATCTCTATCTTTAGTTTTGAGAGCATTCTTGGGACTATATTCCATTTTATTTGAACCTTGGACTAGGTTCATATCACAGAACAATGTCATACTTTGTTGTTCTATACCATAGTCAGTTAACATCTGACGCATCCAGAATAATTGTGTACAACAACTACCCGCCGCCATATACTCAGCTTTAGCTGTGCTGAGTGAAATCGAGTTCTGCTTTTTACTAAGCCAGGCGACTAGATTTTTTCCGATAAAGAAACATCCGCCTGATGTACTTTTTCTGTCGTCAGCATTTCCTGCCCAGTCAGCATCACTGTATCCTGCAAGATTCAGATTAGTATCGTTCGAGTACCAAATACCATAATTTATCGTACCTTTAACGTATTTTATAATACGCTTTACCGCCTTTAAGTGTGACTCTTTTGGATCGGCTTGATAGCGTGCACACATCCCAACACTTACCATAATATCTGGCCGACTAGCTGTTAAGTATAGTAGACTGCCTATCATACTTCTGTACATAGTAGAGTCTACAGACGTTCCTTTTTCATCTTTGAGCAATTTTGAAGTCGTAGAGATTGGAGTACGAGCATCTTTTGCAGATTCAAGCCCAAATTTGGATAGAAGAAGATTTTTCGCATATTTTTCTTGTGAAATAAAAATCCCTTCTTTAGTTTGACTCACTTGTAATCCAAGAAAATAGGTTAGTTCACCTATTATGCTCATTTCAAACTCCTGTTGCATTACCTTGACTAGCTGGTCTGTCTCTCCTGGTTGTGTGGATCCAAAAACGATATCATCTACATACACTTGAGCAATTGTTATGTGTTTACCTGATCGTTTTATAAATAACATTTTGTCTGATCCTCCTCTTTTGCAGTTGTTTTGAAGAAGATATTGAGTAAGTCTCTCATACCAGGCTCTTGGGGCCTGTTTTAAGCCATAGAGAGCTTTTTGTAATTTGTAGACATAGTCTGGATGATGTGGATCTTCAAACCCTTTAGGCTAAGCAACGTATATTTCTTCCGAGAGATAACCGTTTAAGAAGGCTGTTTTATCGTCCATCTGAAACAACTTGAATTTTAGGGCGCAGGCAATCGATAGAAGGGGTCGTATTGACTCTAGCCGTGCAACAGGGGCAAATGTTTCATCGTAGTCGATTCCTTCAATTTGTGAGTAACCTTGGGCTACCAGCCGTGCTTTATTTCTAGCAATGTTGCCAGCTGTATCGGTTTTGTTGCAAAAGATCCATTTGGTACCTACAACATTAACATTGTCAGGTTTAGGAATTAGAGACCATACCTTATTTCGTTCGAACTGCCCCAGTTCTTCTTGCATGGCCTTGATCCAGTGTTCGTCTGTTAGAGCTTCTTTGATATTCTTCGGTTCGATCTGCGATGTATAACAAGAATATCCTGCTAATTGAAGATAATCACGCTTCAGTTTACCTCTGGTTTTTACGCCGGAACTAGAGTCTCCAATTACGTTTTGTATTGGATGAGCTTTCTGGATGCGAGTAGGGATATCAATGTTACCATGATCAGTGTCAGATTCAGACTCAGACTCAGTTTCTTGCTCAGGTTGAGTTGACGTGGGAGATGGCATAGGAGACTCTGGATTATGATATGAATCTAGTCCAAGATTCAAATAAGATGAGTATTGTCCCAAGAATTGCTCTCAATGTAAAGATAGAGATGGATCGAAATACCTTAAACCTCACGAGAAACCCTTTGTCTCGAATCCTCAAAGACTTGGAAGAATCCCATTGTAGCTTCAAGTACCTCGATGATGCAATCTTCAATCAACTAGAGTTGGATCTAGTTTCCTTCGATTCAAGAACGAGTCCACGAACCTAAATCTAAGGTTGAAGAAAGTAAGATTGATTCGAGTCCACGAATCAATTTGCTAGTCGAGTCCACGACTAGTCACTAATTGAGTCCACAATTAGCTATAAGGTTTCTTACACAAGTGTAAAGAAAAACTTAAGAATTTTATTGAATTAAAGTCTGCCCAAAACTGATATGGATGTGCCCTATTTATAGGTATAGGGCAGCATTGTAATCTAAATACAATGGGAAAAAGAGTCCTAAACCTAATCTAGAAAACAAGTAAATAGAGTTTTATTTAGAAAAGGATTTAAGGAATCCTTTCTAAATACAACTAGTGTTTTCTCTTTTATGCCAAACAATTTAAATTAATGATGACCAAAAATAATAGGGCTGATTTGGGCCGAATTTAATCACCAAAATCAGCACTTAAACAATTATAAAAAGCCTTGAGTTCTTCGCCATCATTTGCAATTGGGCTTGAATTGGATTTCCACCATTTTTTAACATAACCAATAAAGAGTTGTCTTAATTGTTTGGACTTAGACCTTGTGATTGGCCCAACTGGTACTATTAATGGATCTTCAGTAGTTTGGGTTGCATTATCCTCCCCTTCTTGAAAATGATTCATCCTCGAATCTGTGCAATCATATGGAGACAAGTCTGAAACATTGAAAGTAGAAGAGACATTGTATTCTCCTCTAAGATCAACCTTATATGCGTTATCTCCAATCCGTGATATAACTTGAAATGGGCCATCTCCACGTTGGTTCAGCTTTGACTTTCTTTCGCGGGGAAAACGGTCTTTGCACAAGTGAATCCACACCCAATCTCCAGGCTCGAATGTGATCTTTTTCCTTGTCTTGTTCACTCGAGCAGCTATTTGTTCGTTCCTTTTCTCAATTTGTTCTTTGACTTTAACATGCATCTCCTTGATCTTCTTGGCACGTTCTTCTCCATCTAAGCTATCCTGCGGATTGTAAGGCAAAGCAAGTAAGTCTATGGGAGATAACGGATTGAAACCATACACAACTTCAAAAGGAGACATGTTAGTGGTTGAATGTATTGCACGATTATAAGCGAATTCAACATGAGGCAAACATTCTTCCCATGATTTTAGATTTTTAGAGATCACACTTCTAAGTAATTGGGATAAGGTTCTATTAACTACTTCTGTTTGTCCATCAGTTTAAGGATGACAAGTAGTAGAAAATAGCAACTTAGTCCCAATTTTAGCCCACAGAACACGCCAAAAGTGGCTAAGAAATTTAGAATCTCTATCAGAAACAATAGTCTTAGGGATGCCATGCAATTTAACAATCTCAGCAAAGAAAAGATTAGCAATATGGGTTGCATCATCAGTTTTGGTGCAAGCAATAAATCTAGCCATCTTACTAAAACGATCAACTACAACAAAAATAGAATCTTTTCTCTTAGAACTCATAGGTAACCCTAGAACAAAATCCATAGAAATATCAAGCCACGGGCCGCTAGGAACAGAAAGTGGTGTGTAAAGCCCTTGGGGAAGTGATTTGGACTTAGCATGGTGACATGTAGTACAATTATTCACAAAAGTCTCAACGTCTTTTTTCATTCTAGGCCAATAGAAGTGTTCATGCAACGCATCATAGGTTTTAGAAATACCGAAGTGTCCCATAAGACCACCTCCATGTGATTCAGTGATCAAACTCACACGCAAGGAACAATTAGGAATGCACACTTTATTTTCCTTAAACAAAAACCCATCTGACAAGTAAAACTTTCCCAAAGGAGATCGTACACAAGAGGTGTAGATCTCGCCAAACACTGAATCACTAGCATAGAGAGACTTAATGAAATCAAAACCAAGAAACTTAGCATGTAAAGTAGCAAGTAAAGTATATCTCCTAGATAAAGCATCAGCCACTTTGTTTTCCGTACCTTTCTTGTAGGCAATTTTATAAGGAAAAGCTTCAATGAACTCGAGCCATTTAGCATGTCTCTTATTCAACTTACCTTGGCCTTTCAAATGTTTTAAGGCTTCATGATCAGTGTGTAAAATAAAGTCTTTAAACCATAAATAATGTTGCCAAGTTTCCAAGGCTCTTATAATGGCATAAAGTTCTTTATCATATGTGGGATAGTTGAGTGTTGCGCCACCCAACTTCTCACTAAAATAGGCAATGGGGCGTTTATCCTGCATCAGTACAGCACCAATTCCAATGCCAGAAGCATCACATTCTAGTTCAAAAGTTTTATCAAAACAAGGTAAAACTAGAACAGGAGCGGTGGTGAGTTTCTCTTTCAATGTAGCAAAAGCTTGTTCCCGTTTAGGCCCCCATTTGAAGATGATGTCTTTCTTAATCAACTCATGCATAGGGGCTGCTATGGAGCTGAAATCACGAACAAACTTTCTGTAGAAACCTGCCAGTCCAAGAAAACTACGCAAGTTAGATACATTAGTTGGCGTTGGCCAACTTGTGATAGCTTCAACCTTTTTTGAATCCATGGTCACACCTTCTATACTAACATGAAATCCTAAAAACTCAACACTCTCAGACATAAAAGAACACTTCTCAAGATTGACATACAACTGTGCAGCCCTAAGTTCAAGAAAAACTAATCGAAGGTGTTTCAAGTGTTTTTCTTGTGACTTGCTATAAATCAGAATATCATCAAAGTAAACAACAACAAAATTACCAATAAATTTCCTCAAAACATGGTTCATAAGCCTCATGAATGTGCTAGGGGCATTAGTTAAGCCAAAAGGCATGACTAACCACTCATATAAACCATGCTTTGTTTTAAAGGCTGTTTTCCACTCATCACCTTCTTTCATCCTGATTTGATGATATCCTCGTTTCAAATCCACCTTGCTAAAGTACTTAGCTCCATAAAGTTCATCAAGCATATCATCAAGTCGAGGAATAGGAAATCTATACTTAATAGTTATATTGTTGATTGCACGACAATCAACACACATTCTCCATGTACCGTCTTTTTTTGGGACAATGAGCACTGGAACGGCACACGGACTCAAGCTTTCTCGAATATGTCCAATTTCAAGAAGCTCTTCAACCTGTTTCTGGATTTCCTTTGCTTCCACGGGATTGGTTTTGTAGGCTGGTCGGTTTGGCAAGGTAGATCCAGGGACAAAGTCGTTTTGATGCTCAATCCCTCTAAGTGGTGGCAATCCTTTTGGCATCTCTTTAGGGAATAAATCTGAAAAATCAGCAAGCAATTCATCAATAGAGGCATTACGAAAACAAGATTCAGAGTGTAACACAAGAGAAGAATCAAGATCAGTGGTAAGCTTATGAATGAAAAGTAAGTTAAACGTGTCTCCCCTTCTTATTGCCTTCTTAATGTCATTTTTTGTTGCAAGAAGAGAGGGCTGATGTGGTGATTCCTTTGTTGGGTTTTGAGATGAAAATGGCGTGGAAAGGGATATTGGAGGAGGTGGAGGCTTTGATTTTGGATAGGGGGAATATGGCACTGATTTCGCCTCTTTTGATGCCTTCCTTGATTTCAATAGTATTTCTTCCACCTGTTTAGGAGTCAAAGGAGACAAGACATATCTAACTCCATCCATGTGAAACACATAAGTGTTCATCATTCCATCAAAAGTGATTTTTCTATCAAATTGCCACGGTCTACCTAACAGCACATGAGCAGCCTGCATTGGGACAATATCACACAAAATTTCATCAGAGTAATTGTTAATAGATAAAGGAATAAGAGCCTGCTTTGTTACTCTAACTTCTCCTGCATCGGTTAACCATTGCAAACGATATGGATTAGGGTGATCAAGCAAAGGTAATTGAAGAAATTTAACCATAGCTGCACTAGCCACATTTGTGCAACTTCCAGAATCTATTATCACAGTACAAGCATTCCCTCTAATTGACCCTTTAGCATAAAATATATTTTCTCTTTGAGACTCATCTTCTTTTAAAGGATGAACATTCAAAACCTTCTTAATAACAAGAGTATGAACAGACTCACTATCAGCATATTCATAATCAAAATCTAAAGGTAAAGGTGGTTCTT